ATGGCATTTAAGTAGATTAGTCTAAGAACGACGAGATTCAAAATTGGCCACAACCCACGAATTTGATGCAAGTCTGTAGTTTCCTTGGGTTGATCAAATTTGATCAACATTTTGTCAAGGATTTTAGCACTATTGCTTCACCATTGGATGCTCTTTCCAAAGACGGTACGTGTTTTACTTGGGGTTCTTCATAAAACAAAGCTTTTCTTAAACTCAAGCATCGCTTGGCTCATACCTCATTGCTTGTTTTGCCGGATTTTGCAAAAACATTTGAGATTTGAGTGTGACGCTAGTGGTACCAACATAGGAGGCATTCTTATGCAAGAGCTTAGACCAGTAGCTTATTTTAAAGAAAAACTAGCCAGCGCGTCATTAAACTATCCCATTTATGACAAGGTACTGTATGCTTTGGTTCGTGTCTTGCAAATTTGGCAACATATTGGTAGCCTAAGGAATTTGTTATCCATTCCGATCACGAATAGCTCAAGTACTTTAGAGCCAAGCCAAACTAAACCGTGGACATGCTAAATGGAGTGATACACTGAGCCTTTTCCCTATGTCATCATGTGCATGAATGGCAAAGAAAATGTAGTAGCTGATGCTCTTTCCCGCAAAATCATGTTGTTACAAAAACTTCAGATTAATGTCACGTGATTTGACCACATTAAAGATTTGTATGCCACTGACCCTTTCTTTGCTAAGCCTTTTGCTCATGCCAAGAAGGCACTCGTTGGATATCGTATGCACGTTAACAAACTTTGTGTTCCCTAGAGTTTTTTGCATTTGCTCCTTTTGCATGAATCGTATGGTGGTGGACTCATGTGACATTTCGAACGCGAAAGACTTATGCTATGCTCGCCAACAAGTTCTTTTGGCCAAGAATGTCTCGAGGTGTTGGGGAATTTATCCGTCGGTGCATCACATGTCGCAAAGCTATCTCTAAAACTCTTTCCCATGGTATTTATACACCTTCGCCCATTCCACATGCACCTTGGGAAGACATTAGAATGGACTTTGTGTTTGGGTTACCTAGTAGAACTAAAAAGGGGAAGGATTCTACCTTTCTGGTTGTTGATCACTTTTTTAAAATTGGCGCATTTCATTCCTTGTAACGAGAGAGACGATGCTTCACATGTTGCAACATTGTTTTTTAGGGAAATCTTGTGCCTAACGGAGTACCCAAGTCCGTCGTCTCCGCGCAACATCAAGGTCATAAGCTATTTGGGAAGACATTGTGCGCCAAGCTCGGCGTCAAGTTGCTCTTCTCATCGGCATACATCCACAGACGAAGGTGGTCAATCGCACATTGTCTACCCTCCTTCACGTGCTCATCAAGAGGAAACTTCAAGAGTTGATTGCTTGCCGATAGCCGAGTTTGCCAACAACCGCGCTCAAACTCGACGACATTGAGTCCCGATCGAAGTCGTCTATGGCTTCAACCCTCTTTCGCCATTAGACATTCTTCCGCTACATCTCGAAAGAGCGAACAAACATGGACACAAGTACAAGTGCCAAGTTCATGAAGAGGATGCAAGAGAGAACAAGGCTCACCATTCAGCCTAATTTCAACAACGCGCCAACAACGGTCTTCCAACCCTGGCAACCATGTGTGTGTGCATCTTCGCAAGGATCGTTTCGTAGAAGAGCGCAAGCCCAGCTACTTCCCCGAGCCGATGGTCCATTCAAGGTCATCCAAAGGAACAACGACAACGCCTATAAGGTCGACATACCCATGGACATGTCCTCAGTGAGCAATACCTTCAACTTCACCAACCTTGCCCCCTTTCATGGTGATGAGGACCTTTATACGAGGACAGATCTTCCCCAATGGGAGGGAGGGGAATGGTGTGGAGCATCCCTTGGACATCACCATGGGTCCCCTATCAAGTCCAAGTAGACCAATGACAAGAGCACATGCACGAGCCATACAAACCGAGGTGACCTCACTCTGCTTCAAGCTCCCTATCCATACTAACTCAATCTAAGAAATGGCTACTACCTCAATCCAAGACCCATTGCATACTTAGGTACAAGGGCATTGCTAAGGAACAAGAAGGCGGGCCAAAGCACGGACGAGGAGCAAGAGAGAAGAAGAGGTTGCTCCAGCCAGGAGGTCAGACGGTCCAGCAAGATTCAGGCCGGATAATCCTTGGCAAAAGGAGTGCAACTAGATAGCAGCCAGACAGTCCGCTACTTTTCTGGGTAAAACCGAACCCACCGGGACACCTGGCTGGACAATCTGGCACCTGCGTGAACTCTAGAGACCTGATTTGCCCTTTGCCAGCCACCGACCGACCGGACTGTTGGAGTGCGCCAGCGGTCAAACACATGCACCCGCCCAAACCCAAGTTAGCGCCCAGGGTTGAACTATCCAGGCTAAATGGAGTCAGTTTGATTGACCAGCTGCTTGCGCGCTATCAAAGGAACACCGACCATGTATCTCTCTCTCTCTCTCCCACCCACCCCTTTGTCCCTATACTATATATATATATATATATTGTACTCCTCCAATCTAGGGTTAGCAAAATATAGACCATCAACTTGAGAGCTTTGTGCAATCTACCTTCCTCGAGGCGGTCAAGGTCTCCATCTTGGAAAAGAATCCTTTAGGATTACAAGGCCTTCCACGTGAAGAATCCCTTCTCTCTCGGATTGGGGAAGAACCATCTTTCAAGACCTCCATCTCTCTTTGGGGTCCTGGGGATGAACCATCTTGTGTTTCCTTATTGCCTTAGCTTGCTTATTGGATCTAAATTGGACCTCATGTATTGCCTTGTGTGTGTGTTTCCTCTTGTGATTTTCTTTTGTTTCCCCTTTGCCTTTCGTGTTCATCTATGAATCCACCTCCAATCGTGGAGATCGAGCCACCCCTACGACTTGCCCTGTATCAAGAAGCATAATGCCAGTTATGCCCAGACCTCGAATTGCCGCCCCCACTCTTAGACCCTCCGGTGTGACCTCCGAGTCTCACCACTCAACTTTTGTGCGCCTCCTCTGCTCCTACACTGTGACCTCTCACCCTTCAACACTTCTTTCTTGGCTCTTTCGTACAACTGTATGGAAAGGCTAGGCGCCGCTTCAGCGAACTATGCACTAGGCAGAGGCAAAACGCCCACCTAATGCCTGGATATTATCGGGTCCTTGGGCAACTCATCATGAAATTACAGCACAAATTGTTTCATAGGAATATTTCTTATGACTTGAACCTCTTGGAAAGATTCCTATGTTTTTCTAAAATGTAAAGAATCAAACACCCATTGGTGCAAATTATATAAGATTCAAAAGGGCATGACATCATTGTCCAATGATTTTCATGTTCACGTGGCTTTTAAATCATGCAAAACAAAAACCTTGGCATTTGCACATGCTATGAGATACCCCCCCCCCATTCCAAAATAAATGGTGTATTTTGATTGTTCCAAAAACAAGTTTTGCCATGATTACTTGTATAGTATATTGTTAATGGTCACAAAAACACAACAATGATTGAAGGTGTTGTTGAAGATGAGTCCGATTACATTGGTGTAATAACCAACATAATATTGGATTAGTTCTTGGTCAAAGTTTGTATTGGGGAAGCCAAAGTATGCCTTACATACAGGAACTGAGGAAGTGTTTTTCTTTATTTCTTTGATGAAGCATAAAACACGGTTATAACGAACTAACTACCAAAGGTGATCCATGCACAACTATGGTTATTCCATGTTGTAATCAACAACAAAAACAAAGCTTTTTAGTCCCGAAAATGTTGGGGTAGGCTAGAGTTGAAACCCATAAGATCTCAAAACCAAGTCATGGTTCTGGCACCTGGATAGCCAACTTCCACGCACCCCTCTCCATGGCTAGTTCTTGGTGGCATTCTAGTCATTTAGATCCCTCTTTATGGACTCCTCCATTTGAAGTTTGGTCTAACCGACCTCTCTTGACATTATCGGCACACTTTGATCGTCCTCTATGCATTGGTGCTTCAGGAGGCATGCGTTGTATATGCCAAACCATCTTAGACGATCTTGGACAAGCTTGTCTTCAATTGGTGCCACCCCAACTCTATCACGTATATCATATTCCGAACTTGGTCCTTTCTTGTGTGGCCATATATCCATCTCGACATGCAAATCTCACCAAACTGTTGGACATGTTGCCTTTTAGTTGGCTAACATTATGCGCCATACAACATCACAAGGTCGAATCGCAGAACTGGCATTTTATCTTTTGTGGCACTATCTCATCACAGAGGATGCCAAAAGCTTGGCGCCACTTCACCCATCCAGTTTTGATTTGATGGCTCACATCTTCATCGATATCACCATCCTTTTGCGGCATCGACCCCAAATATCGAAAGATGTCCTTCTAAGGTACCACTTGCCCATCAAGGCTAACCTCCTCCTCCCCATGCCTAGTAGTACTGAAGTGTACTCAGTTTTAGTTCTACCAAGCCTAAAAACTTTCCATTCCAAAGTCTGTTTCCACGGCTCTAACTTTCTATTAACCCCCCTCCGACTATAGTCGACTAGCACAACATCATCCGCAAAGAGCATACACCATGGGATATCTCCTTGTATATCCCTTGTGACCTCATCCATCACCAAAGCAAAAAAGGTAAGGGCTCAAAGTTGACCCTTTGTGCAGTTCTATTTTAACTGTGGCTAAGAATTTGTTGATTTAACCTTACACAATGCGGCAGTAATTGTGTGGCAAACTAGTGCAAGGTTGGCACTCAAGCAAACAAGGCTTATTTTTACAATCATAAGTTGTATGGTAATTTTCCTTGTTTCCTTCAACATTTTTTGATCATTCATGAACCAAAATGAGTTCCAAAAGTATCTGACCTCTCTAAGAAGCTGCTTAATGAGATGTAATATCTCATGCTAATACTATTTGTTATTATATGGCCTATCGGAATATAAGTATATCATAGGAAGAAAAGTAGTCAAATATGCCAATAAACTGACTACAGATTGGTGACAATATTAACTTCAACATAACAAGAAATACAATACCGCTTTGCAGTCATTATCAAGTTTGCAATGCCTTGGCCAACAAGACCACAAGAAAATCCAACTGCACCATATAAAAGTCCCTGTTCTCAACATAGGGTATTTGAGATATTAGAAGAGGTAATAGCATTTGTAACATTTCTGGGTCACAACAAGTATCGCACTGAACAAAAAAATTACCTTGAGAAGGTATGATCCGAGCCGTTGTCGAATGGAAAAACTGTATCCTGGCCTTTCAGCTTCAAAAACACTACATGAGTTCAGATCTCATCAGTGTTACGCAGGATGAACGGTTGGATGCATTAGAAACAGTAATGAAGAACAATGTCAGCCAATTATAGTAGCACAAAGTGCACTGAGATTAACATGCAACAAGCAAGGGAAATGGGAAATAAGGCTAAAATGACAAGATAGTAGTACTTAACCCAATAATCATCTGATGGCATGTTTTTATGGAAAGGGAAGTATGCATCCAGCAATATTATGGTTCGAATCTCATCAATAACCAGGATTACTATTACAGTTTACAGTTAGAGATTATTTATCTTTAGTCAGTTTATTAAGCATTGGTGACTCAACCGGATAAGATTTATACAAACAAACCTTGCCCTTTTTACAGTTTTTCACTCATTAAGAATTATGCACTGAAAAACCTTGCTTTTTCTAGGGATGTGACTGGCCTTTGTGGCTTGATTTATGGATAAAAGACAAATAACCTAGATTGCAGAAAAATTAGGCTAAAAGCTTTAATGGAACGGGAAGACAGTAATACACCTGGTTCCCACTAAAGAACTTACACATAGAACTATAAGTACATAGAAATATTAAATGACATGCACCTAGAGACACAACGAGAAGTCACTTGCAATTAACACAAAATACTGCTTCCATATTTTACTCCCACAGAACTGTTAGCATAGTTCATAACTCACCTGCTCGGGAGAGCATCATAAGCATGCCTAACACGCCCAAGAATACCTGCTGATGCAGACCCCCCACGGAATCGAGCATATGGTGCTAACATGCCAACTAAAGCAACATTAACAACTACGCCTACCAACATATCTGCTGCATACAACTCGAATTCTGACCAGAACTCATCGCCCCTCTTCTGAACCTCCGCAAAAGTCGCGCAACATGTGTCAATAACTATCTGCAAAACGTTCCACCAAAACGATCAATTAACAATCCTACCAATGAACACTTACCAGTGTGCAATTCTACCTAAGATAAGAACCGAACCTACCTCCGTCCCAATTTTGAAGAGGAACACAGGATCAACCAGCATCCTATTCCGGAGAAGCCCACAGGATCTAATGGCAGGACCCAAGGGCCAAGCTGAGGCCTAGAACATGCAAACAGCAAAATAACTCCGAGTCAGCCATATAGCAATCCCAAAAGACGCATAAGAACAAGAGCACTTTACAACACCTGCATGTCCAAGTATCTCAGCAGCAGCAGCTTCTGAATCCCGATGCTCTTCGCCGCCTCGATCATATCGGCTGGCAAGCTGGACAAGCTAACCCCTTGCTTCTCCACCTCCTGGACTACCTGTTCGAAGCTAAGGATCGGCCCAAACTCATCATCCCCCTCATTGTGGCCATCCCCACCATCGCCACCCCCACCACTATCCCCACCTCCACCACCGCCGCCACCAGGCCGGAACTTCCCATTCCCACCCGATCCACTAACGTCAGCAACCTCCGCGCCCTTCTCTTGAAGCGCAGTCGGCTGGGTAACCGCGCCGACGTCCTCGGCAGAACCAGCAACCTTCCCCGCCTCTCGGGCGACCACAGCTGCGCCGGAGGTGGTGGCTGCGCTCCCATCCGCACTGGCCTGCGGCGGCAGCTGGCAACGGATTCCTCTAGCGATCCGCCTCCTTCCAGTCGGGTACGAACAGCCGCTCGGCCTAGCTAGAACGGCCCGGCACTTGACGGTGTCGACGCGGCCGTGCAGGCGAACGCTCGCGCACGAGAAGGCCATGCTCATGCTCCCTCGCAGCACTTACACAGCTGCGACCGCAACGCACACGCAGATATTGTCAGATGAAATGAGCAATAACGAACCAAATCCCAACAATTAACAAGGGGAAATCGAAGAAGCGCTTGCCTGCAGAATCAAGAGACTGGGTGATTTTTGAGCGGGCGGATTCGATTTGGACTGGATGCAGAGAGACCAGAGGAGTATGGTGGTGGTGGCGGCGGCGGCGGCGCGGCGCGAGGAAGAAGCGTGCACGGTGTGGGCAGTCTCTCAGATTCGGCTATTGGCAGTTTTTTTTAATCCATTAAGCAGTTTTTTTTAATCCATTCTCTCCTCGCCTCTCCTCCTTTGCCGAGTTGAGGGTCCCCTTCTTCTTTCCGTTGCCGTCCCTTCTCTTCCTTCCTTCCGGCGGCCCTGTGGCCGGCAGGAGGATGATGTAGGTGGTCGTGCTCTTCTTGTACATATTAGATCTAGATTTAGTCCGTGTCTTTAGCTATATGCGTCTTTGGCTACATGCCGGTCGTCGGGTCTATGCCGGGAGGGAGATGCCAGGTCTAGGGGCCCGGATCTGGTATTGCTTTGTCTCTTTGCTCCTTGTTGCGGCGTTTCCATGGACGAAGCCAGAGGTGATGAGGAGAGCACATGTCTCGGAGTAAATAATCACGGGTAGATTCATCTGCTTTTCATGGCGATTCAAGACATCAAGGCCGACTGCGCTCCTCAAGCCTCGAAGAGGAAGAGCCGCCTTCTCAGGGCCGGTTGGTCCAGGAAGACGGCTATGAGGTGGGCCGACTCCTAGCAGACAGCCTTCAGAGAGGCCGGCTCCTAGAAGGCGGCCCCCTCCGCCCCTTGAAGTTTGCATCACATTATGGCGACGAGACAGGCATGGCTACAGTGCAGCCTGCCACCCTCGAATCTAGGGAGCGTGGCCACAATATAGTGTACTGGGTGGACATCCCCGTCCGACGCGGCCCTGTTGCCACGCAGCCCGTGACACCACCCATAGCAGAGGAGGCCATGCTCCCACTACGGACTGTCGGTACGGCCCGCAGGCGGCGGGCCCTACCTGTCCGTGAGAGACCGACTCCTGACCAGGCGGCACCACGGAGGCCGACTCCCCACCAGGCGGCCCTCCCTCTCCCTCAAAGTCTGCGCGACATTAATTAGAAGAGACGGGGAATGGCTACAATGAACATCCATCAGGCGGCGGGACTGTAGCCACGCTCTCCCTGACAAAGCGTGCATCATCAATGGCACTGCCACAGTACTAAGCAGTCGGCAAGACCCGCAAGCGGCGGGCGCGGCCTGTCGGTGAAGTATGAGACAGCCGGCGGGACCCACCAGGTGGCGGGCCCTAGCGGCCAGCGGAGAAGCCGGCAACCATAGACACTGACAGCCGGGTTCTACACCCGGCCAGATTACCATTGTACCCCCATGGCACACATGCAAAGGGTTCAGACCTTAGTCCACCCACACACACATAGAGAGAGAGGAAGCTAGGGCTAGCCTTGTTCTTCTCCCCCCTCTAGAGAAACAGCTCAAGGAGCAAGCTTGTAGCCACCATTGTTGCTTGAGTGATCATGCGGAGACCCCGCAGAGCAGGATTAGAGGTGTTATCTCTTAGGAGAGCCCCGAACCTGGGTAAAGTTCGCCGACGTATATGTCTACACCTCATCCCATTTCCTGGCACCGGCGATGTCTTACTATCCCCCACCATGATAAGCTATCCTTTGGCATATGTCGCACGACACCCCCGACATTTGGCGCCCACCGTGGGGCCTGGTGCACCGTCGGCCGGAGATATGTTTTGGACGGGAACCTTGTTTCTTCCTAGCGAGCGCAGCCAGCCCGGCGCGCCTAATGGCGTTTGCGCCGACGCGCTGCATGGCGCGGAAGTCGCTTGCGCGGCGGCCAGCCTCGCCGATCTTGTTGGCGAGATCCGCCTCTCCAACGAGCCCACACCCGACGCGGGAGCAGCCAACTCCGGAAGCTGCTTCGTCGACCTTCTTGGCAAGCTCCACATTGCCAACGAGCCCGCCACTGACCTAGAGTCGGTTGGCTCCACCGACCCGATGCTTGTCGACACTGACACGACTTCCTTCGACTCCTTCCCCGCCAACGTGGTGGTCATCGATGATCCGCTCCCATGCACGGAGAGCGGCGGCAGCACTGTCACGGAGGTGCTTGTCATCAGCCACAACGGCGCCTCTGCCGGGGCCGCCCAGGACTCGTTGCAGGCGGTAATGCGGGACCTGTCTACGCCCATTGCGGCAGACGCCAACGCCGAGACGCCGGAGGCCAGCCGTGTCTCGCTTGTTGAGAACGCCAAGAAGTTGGCTACCATGAGACGCCTCTCCGAGGCCTTCCAGCGCGAGATCGACCGCGTTGTTGGCGGCACGCCGCCTGCTGGCGGGCGCAGCCGCGTGGGCATGGTCCGACAGCGATGTGGTGCTACCGCCAGCATGTTTGGGGTAGACCACCCTGTCTACGCCACGCCCATGGAGAACATGTTGGGGAACGTAGCAGAAATTCAAAATTTTCCTACGTGTCACCAAGATCTATCTATGGAGAGACCAGCAACGAGGGGAAGGAGAGTGCATCTACATACCCTTGTAGATCACTATGCGGAAGCGTTCAAGAGAACGGGGTTGATGGAGTCGTACTCGTCGTGATCCAAATCACCGATGATCCTAGCGCCGAACGGACGGCACCTCCGCGTTCAACACACGTACGGAGCAGCAACGTCTCCTCCTTCTTGATCCAGCAAGGGGGAAGGAGAGGTTGATGGAGATCCAACAACACGACGGTGTGGTGGTGGAAGCAGCGGGATTCCAACAGGGCTTCGCCGAACGCTGCGGGAGGAGGGAGATGTGTCATGGGAGGGAGAGGGAGGCGCCAGGGCTCAGGTATCGTTTCCCTCCCTTCCCCCCACTATATATAGGGCCAAGGGAGAGGGGAAGGGCGCAGCCTTGCCCCTTCCTCCAAGGAAGGGTGCGGCCAAGGGGGGAGGAGTCCATCCTCCCCAAGGCACCTCGGAGGTGCCTTCCCCCTTTAGGACTCTCCCTTTCCCCCTTCTCTTGGCGCATAGGCCTCTTGGGGCTGGTGACCTTGGCCCATATAGGCCAAGGCGCACCCCCTACAGCCCATGTGGCCCCCCGGGGCAGGTGGCCCCACCCGGTGGACCCCCGGGAATCTTCCGGTGGTCCCGGTACAATACCGGTGACCCGAAACTTGTCCCGATGGCCGAAATAGCACTTCCTATATATAATTTTTTACCTCCGGAGCATTCCGGAACTCCTCATGACGTCCGGGATCTCATCCGGGACTCCAAACAACTTTCGGGTTACCGCATACTAATATCTCTATAACCCTAGCGTCACCGAACCTTAAGTGTGTAGACCCTACGGGTTCGGGAGACATGCAGACATGACCGAGATGACTCTCCGGTCAATAACCAACAGCGGGATCTGGATACCCATGTTGGCTCCCACATGTTCCACGATGATCTCATCGGATGAACCACGATGTCAAGGACTTAATCAATCCCGTATACAATTCCCTTTGTCTAGCGGTACGATACTTGCCCGAGATTCGATCGTCGGTATCCCGATACCTTGTTCAATCTCGTTACCGGCAAGTCTCTTTACTCGTTCCGTAACACATCATCCCGTGATCAACTCCTTGGTCACATTGTGCACATTATGATGATGTCCTACCGAGTGGGCCCAGAGATACCTCTCCGTTTACACGGAGTGACAAATCCCAGTCTCGATTCGTGCCAACCCAACAGACACTTTCGGAGATACCTGTAGTGTACCTTTATAGCCACCCAGTTATGTTGTGATGTTTGGCACACCCAAAGCACTCCTACGGTATCCGGGAGTTGCACAATCTCATGGTCTAAGGAAATGATACTTGACATTAGAAAAGCTTTAGCATATGAACTACACGATCTAGTGCTATGCTTAGGATTGGGTCTTTGTCCATCACATCATTCTCCTAATGATGTGATCCCGTTATCAATGACATCCAATGTCCATGGTCAGGAAACCGTAACCATCTATTGATCAACGAGCTAGTCAACTAGAGGCTTACTAGGGACATGGTGTTGTCTATGTATCCACACATATATCTGAGTTTCCTATCAATACAATTCTAGCATGGATAATAAACGATTATCATGAACAAGGAAATATAATAATAACTAATTTATTATTGCCTCTAGGGCATATTTCCAACAGTCTCCCACTTGCACTAGAGTCAATAATCCAGTTCACATCGATATGTGATTAACACTCAAGGTCACATCCCCATGTGACTAACACCCAAAGAGTTTACTAGAGTCAATAATCTAGTTCACATTACCATGTGATTAACACTCGATGAGTTCTGGGTTTGATCATGTTATGCTTGTGAGAGATGTTATAGTCAACGGGTCTGAATCTTTCAGATCCGTATGTACTTCGCAAATCTCTATGTCATCTTGTAGACGCAACTACTACGCTACATTTGGAGCTACTCCAAATAACTGTTCTACTATACAAATCCAGTTTACTACTCAGAATAATCTGGATTAGTGTCAAAGTTTGCATCGGCGTAACCCTTTACGACGAACTCTTTTACCACCTCCATAATCGAGAAAATTCCTTAGTCCACTAGTTACTAAGGATAACTTTGACCGTTGTCTTGTGATACATTCTTGGATCACTCTTGTACCCCTTGACTGACTCATGGCAAGGCACATTTCAGGTGCGGTACACAGCATAGCATACTGTAGGGCCTATGTCTTAAGCATAGGGGACGACCTTCGTCCTTTCTCTCTATTCTGCCGTGGTCGAGCTTTAAGTCTTAACTTCATACCTTACAACTCAGGCAAGAACTCCTTCTTTGACTGATCCATCTTGAACACCTTCAAGATCATGTCAAGGTATGTGCTCATTTGAAAGTACCATTAAGCGTTTTGATCTATCCTTATAGATCTCAATGCTTAATACTCAAGTAGCCTTATC